GCCTTAGATACGGACTCTCGAACTATGCACTTCTGAAAAACGGACATTTCATACTGAACGACCTGATATTTTCGAGCTTATCTTCCTAATGACCAAAGTTGTAGCCCTACGTCGCAGTGGTGTGGTGTCTCCTTCATCTAGCAGAGAAGGGTCAGAAGGGTTGTTGTATTAAGTATTTTTCCAGGGGAAGGTGGTAGTTCAAAGTAATCGTTCGTTCCCTTTCAGAAACAGTCAGAAGGCGCGTCTTGAATTTTTTCCAGAGCAAGAAACATAAATCTCTTTCGCATTCTTTTCGTATAGTGGGAAGTGATGCCGTGAATCGTTCAGGCGAATCACTTGGTTTTCTATTATCAAAATTTTTAGGTGACAAAGGATCTGTTAGCTGCAGGAAATAACAGCAGTAATACAGAGACGTCCAGAGAGGAAGCGAAACTGGAAAGCACCGAAGATTTTCACGTAAGTCCCACGGGTATTTCTTTTACAATGATTTTTTTGTTGCTTTCCTAAGCAGTAGACGGAGCGATGTTGTCTTGTCGAGCTCCTTCCTTCGATAGGGACGATATCATGTGCTTTTTATGATAATTTTTGCCTGCTTTCTTCTCTTATTTGTAGCTGGTAAATATTCTCATACAGTTTCATGATGATCGCTTCAGATGAATGGACTCTTGCCGTCAGAGGAGTCGAGCGTTCAGTGGCTTAACGCATGTGCTCCCACAGTGGATCCTAGTGTTGTAGTGGTTAGCTTCGAAACCTTTTAATGTTTAACTAGAAAGTTTTTTCTGTCTGTCTTTCCAGTTGCCATTGTGTGCATGGTTGGATGCTTCACAAAAGCTGAGCTCGAACTTGCTTCCAAATCGTGCGCAGCTGAAGGGACTTAAAAGTTTTCTTTCTATGGGGGACTCCGACTTCCCCCATATATTTGACCAAATAAAATTACTGTTTGTATCCTTGAATAAGAAATATTGGGTAAAAAATAAACCTTTCAGAACCCCTAGACACGTGATCACGTACTGGGAGGCGGATGTGTCTTGCTTTCTTCAGAATTTCTCGTACAGGTCCACGCTCACCCGGAACGGCTCCAGGTTCAAGATAAATGGTACCACAGCTGTAGTACCGTGCCACTTCCTTCGTTCAAAAAGACTTAAAAAGGGGGTTGTAGGGTAGTGGTTTTCGGCCGCCTCCATATTTCGCCCACGCTTCTCAAGAAGCATTCGTGTCGATGCTATGGTCCCGCAGCGAAACACGCACTCATCTGTAGGGAACAATCACAAGTGAGATGGATGAGCTATGGTCAGGGCGTGGCTCTCCGGCGGCATGGGTGGAGCATGGAGTGGGCAGTACTACAGCCCCGCATCCATGCACTTTTGACCGGAGAAAGTGGCACGCTACTGCAACTGCGGATCCATTCACCTCGTACATGACAAGGATCAGGGTGAACGAAGGTCTCTTTCGTTTCGCTTAGGCAAACAGGGGAGTTGACCTCTCATCTCATGATGCCAAAAACTGTTGTAACCTCTCTATCGCTTCACAGGTTTCTGAGCTCAGCGCTCTAACAAGGGAAGGATGGTAGGTCGAAGTGGCCATTTGAAATGAAATGTATACCGGCTGAAAGGTCTTCGGACGGGAATTACGAAACCGTCTTCCATATCTGCTGCGGACCTCCCAGAAAGAAGTTACGGAGCTTTTTGGGGGAGAATACACTACGAATTGGCGGCGTAAGGCTGACGAGATCGTGGCAGCATGGCCGAGTGGATACGTCGTAGGGCTCACGGATGCGTGGTCGAGGGTTTGGATCCTTGATGCGTGTGCCTTTTGCATTTTTTCGAAAGTGGTCCCTGTGCACTTCAAAGCTATTTTGCATAACACTTGCCCCTGATAATGTCCTCCGGCTGAAAAGATCGTCATACGAGCCGAAAACTTCCAGCAGGTACGAAAACACTTTGAGATATAAATCATTTAACATTATGTGAGTCAGCCAGAAGTGATCGCTATGGAATGGTTCGCAAATGGCTCCATCACTTCAGAATCATTACGTCACGACATTATCAGGGACAAGTGTTATGCAAAATAGTTTCGAAGTGCACAGGGACCACTTTCGAAAAAATGCAAAAGAGCACACGCATCAAGGATCCAAACCCTCGACCACGCATCCGTGAACTCTACGACGTATCCACTCGGCCATGCTGCCACGATCTCGCTGGCCTTACGCCGCCAATTTGTAGTGTATTTTCTCCCTAAAAAGCTCCGTAACTTCTTTCTGGGAGGTCCGCAGAAGATATGAGACGTTTCGTAATGCCGTTGAAGACCTTTCAGCCGGTATGCATTTCATTTCAAATGGCCACTTCGACCTACCATCCTTCCCCTGTAAGACGTGTGCAACGATGTGCACTCATTGCATATGGCCTAACTTATCGATGTTAGTGTTTAAAAAATCAAATGTCTGCTTCAGGACGAAAGACCTAGTGGTCGAAGAGACTCGTTTTATATGAACTCAGGAATGGTAGACACAAGAATCAACTCAGTCCCTGGTGCGTTAATCTTTTACCAAAGTCATATTCTTTCAGAGCGCATTGAGATTCTTGGAACTTATAGGTTGCTTTATTTTTATTAGGCATTTTCGAAGAACTACTTACAGTAGCTTGCTTAGTTGCTTTAACCGTGCATGTGTAAGGCTTTTGAGAGGCAGCGTATACAACTGGGCCCTTTGACGGGCATTCATTAATTTCTGAAAGTCCCTACTTTGATTTAGTTGTTTTCGCTGCCTTCCTTTTCTTATAAGCGAAGGAGTGGTGGTCGTCATGGCTACCCAAGGTGAGGTGTACATATAAACATGTGTCCAAATCTTCCGAATGTTTTTGTGAACACAGTTATAAATGATTTATCCCCTTTGCGCAAACGGTGCGCTTTGCTTTCTGAGTCCACCTTCTAGCACAGACTTACTAACCACCCGTCGTCTTCACTGAAGTACTTAGGAAACACATAGTTCAATACACAAAGCTTGTTTTAAAGCAGCAGGCCCGATGCTTAGGGGCGAATGGTTGTCATCAACGTTATTGCTTTAAAGGCTAGGAGGGGTGTGGCCACAGGGTACAGCATCCTTGTGTGAAACACATGGGGGGGGTCGTACTTTTGCTCTGGGGAGGGGGGGGGGTCGTATTTGTAAGACAAATTTATTTTGATAGTTGATTTTTTCTTGTGGAAAAGTGGGG